CAGAATTTATTTGGAAGAATGATTCTCAACTAGGAAGCTTTAAGTTGACAGAGTTGACCAAGTATGACTTTTGAGTAATTGACCTCGGACCAGAGTTTTGATAGTTCCGTTAGGTCCAGATGGTGATTTTGGACTTGGGGTTATACCTAGATTTGAATTTGGATATTTCTAGAAGGTTTCGACACTAATAGGCGCAAGTTAGAAATTTGAAGGTTTGGAATATTCATAAGTTTGACCGGGAGTTGACTTTAATGATATCGGGTTCCGATCGTGGTTCTGGGAATTTGAACTGGAATAGCTTCGTTATGCCATTTGGGACTTGTGCGCAAAATTTGAGTTCATTCCGAGTTAATTTGATATGGTTCGGCATGAGTTTCGGAAGTTGAAAGTTCAAAAGTTCATTAACTTTGATTTGAGGTGTGATTTGTCATTTTGATATTTTTATGTGTGATTTGAGGCCTCGAGTAGGTCTGTATTATGTTATGGGACTTTTTGATATATTCGGACGGGGTCCCGAGGGGCTCGGTTGAGTTTCGGATGCATTTCGGATCATTTCCATGTTCTTTGGCACTGCTGATTTTTGGTGTTTCAGACCTTCTTCGTGATTGGAAGATTGGGTCACGATTGCACAGTATTGTGGGAGACGGCCTTTTCCTTCATCGCGTTCCCGACGATATTATCGCATTCATGTACCTTTGTGAGGCCCGAGCATCACGTTCGCGTCCTTATGCTCGCGTTCGCATTGATTTGAGATGAGAAGCAGGGGACCGGGGAAAATGTCTTCGCGTTCGCGAAGTAGCAGATGAGTTTGCATAAGGTTGGAGCTTCTGTGTGTCGCGTTCGCGAGGCCTATGCCGCGAGCGCGTAGTGTTTTTGGAGGCAGTGGAGTTTTTGCTTAGCTATCGCGAAGGGCGTCCCGCTATTGCGAAGGTTATGTCTGTTCAGTGAATTATAAGAACTTTATTTCGGAGGTTTCGGCCATTTTAGCATATTTGGAGCTATGGAGCTCGGATTGAGATGATTTTTGAGGTGATTTTTACCATATGGATTAGGATAAGTGTTCTCTACTCAATTTTGATTATATTTTATGAATCTATCCTCGTTTTTGGTATTTGGTTGATGATTTGAAAAGAGAAATTGGGGGTTTTGTTTAAAATTTCATAAAGTGAAATTTAGAGTTTTGAGCATCGATTCGGAGTCGGATTTGCGTGAAACTAGTATGGTTGGACTCATTATTGAATGGATTATCGGATTTTGTTAATTTTGTTTGGTTATGAGGTGTGGGCCCGAATTTGACTTTTTAGTTGACTTTGGGCTTTTGATTAAAGATTCCACCTTTTATCAATTGGCTTTGATTCCTTTGGCATTCGTTGATGTTCTTGTGTTGCTTTTGGCTAGTTTCGAGCTGTTTAGAGGTCGGTAATCACGGGATAGCATTTTGGAGTATCGTTTGGCTTGCTCGATATTAGATTCGGCTTGTTCGAGGTAAGTAATACTTCTGAACTTAGTGCTGAGGGTATGAACCCCTGAATATACGTGTTATGTGTTTGGTGTTGAGGTGACGCACATGCTAAGTGACGGGCGTGTGGGCGTGCACCGTGGGAATTATGACTCTATTGATTCTGTGGGACTGTGTAGTGACCTAATCTTGTTTCTATCCATGAAATTTCTACGTGCTAGAGTAATCGAGCTGTGATCTATGTTAGAAACCATGTTTAGGCTATATGTTTATCCTGTTTGGACCCACTGAGGTCATTTCTGTTGTTGAGTTATTTGCTTAATGCAATTACATACTCAGTCATACTCATTCATTGCATATCATATCTCAGTCTTTGCTATTATTTGTTTCACATCATATTCTCATCGTTTGGGCTGATTGGCATGAGATTTGTGAGGCCGAGAGATTGGAGAGGATGATGACTTAGTAAGGTCGAGGGCCTGATTATTAGTGATATTTATGGGATCGGGCTGCATGCCGCAGCAGGCTTTATTAATTCATGCCATGATTGGCTTATATTAGCGCTTGGGCAGGATTCGCCCTTCCGGAGTCTGACTTACCAGTAGTGAGCACAGGTACCTACTAAGTTCGAGTGCAAGTGCCGAGCGCGAGTGCCGAGTGATTGTGAGGACTGGGTGACTATGAGTACTGAGTGACTATGAGGACTGAGTGACTGTGAGGACTGAGTGACTGTGAGGACTGAGTGACTGAGAGGACAGAGCGAATTGATACTCCGAGAGTATGCATATGGTTTTATCACTGCATCGCATTATAGTTGGCATACATACCTGACATGTAGGCATTGAGATGCATTTCCTCATGTTGTACGACATTCTGACATTCATGACTTCACATGAACATTGAATTGTAGGCATAGAGATGTACTTTCCTCATGCCATCTGATAATGAAACTTCCTATCTATTGTTGAAAGATTTTTGGAAAAAATCATTGTTTTCAGATTTACTCATATTTTGGTGATTTTGGTGAAAGATTTAGGTTTTACTGTTATACTTTAAGAGCATGCCTATTTTCCAGAACTGTGAACAAGCTGAGCATTATATCTTTGAGTTATTACTTGTACTTCTTTATTTATATTGTTACGAGTTGTTCCTAGCTTCTGGTGTTGGACTCTGGCCGTTGTCCAAGCTCGTCACTACTTTCAACCTAAGGTTAATTTTGTTACTTATTGAGTATATGGGGTCGGTTGTACTCATACTACACTTCTGTACCTTGCGTGCAGATTTGGATGATGATGTTGCTGTGTATGGCGGGAGCTGGCCTTGAAGATGTACCTGCGTTCTGGTCGTAGTTGTCTCTTGTTCTTGGTAGCTTTAGAATTATTAATCTGTTCATGTATATTTCCAAATAGATGGTGTATTTATTTCATACCAGCTTTGTAAACTCTAAATTTTAGAAGCTCATGATTTGTACTACCAGTCCTTGGGAAGTGTATAAAAGTTCAGTTATTTCATCGTTTATTTTCTCAGTAAATCTCATTGAATTGAATTGTTGTTAATTGGCTTACCTAGCGGGTTAGGTTAGGTGCCATCACGACTAGTTGGATTTTGGGTCGTGACAAGTTAGTGTTAGAGCTCTAGGTTCATAGGTACGAAAAGTCATGAGCAAGTGTCTAGTATAGTCTTGAGGATCGGTATGATGACGTCCATACCTATCTTTGAGAGGCTACAGGGCATTTAGGATAAACTACCTATCTTTCTTTACTTATCGTGCGTCATTGATTCAGCTTAAACCGTATCTTCTTGAATTCCTTCCACTTACCCGTATGCGCGTGTGAGCGCTTGGTATCAACTATACATCGTCAGCTTGTGGATTCCATGGATGAGGTGCAAGATGTGTTTTTTATGTTTTGGTGATGGGCTAGTCTGGAGGACTTGAGGCCCAGTTTGGACCGCAACTTAGGCTCGGTAGTTTCAGTTGTGTGAGCATGTGCTTTTGAACTTCTATGTCCGGTAGTGTCCCTATGAGTGAAATTTATGGCTAGGTGAGTGGTTGGATGACTATGTGATGAGTATGACGTAATTGTGGTATGCGTTCAGATGGTTTGGATGTGGCGAGAAGAGTTTGCGCGGGATGTGGAAAGGACTATTAAATGCTCAATTTCTATGGATGTGTTGTATAGCCTCAAGTTATGATCGTGTTGAGGGATCTTTCATGTTTTCCGGTTATGGGACGAAGTAGATTCGCATGTCTTGTGGATGAGTTCCGACTCAAGAAGATTAAGTGACTGTGCAGTAATTGTGGCTGTGAAAGGGTATAAGGAGATGTCAGTTTGAGGCTAAGCAGGTGGGTGATCAACTGCGGGGTAATCTACAAATGTGTGATCCTTATGATGTTATGTGGAGAGTTTCCTTCAACAAGTGGGTTATATGTGTTGCGATTTGAGTTTGGATCGGTGGTGAAAGTTCACCTGACCGTCACGAGGATGAATGCAAGCTTAGCAGATTATTTGAGGCACTATATGGTTTGTGTTAAAAGCTCATGACTTGTACTAGCAGTCCTTGGGAAGTGTATAAAAATTCAGTTATCTCATCGTTTATTTTCTCAGTAAATCTTATTGAATTGGATTGTTGTTAACTGGCTTGCCTAGCGAGTTAGGTTAGGTGTCATCACGACTAGTTGGATTTTGGGTCGTGACAGAGTGGGTGTAGTATTTGGACAACGAGATTATCAACCACTTTTAGCTTAAAATCATATACTTGTATTGACGACAAAATAGTTAAAAGAAAACAATTAACCACCCATATTATTCACTAAAAATGGATTGGACAATGAACTTTTAAATAACGGGTCAAATATGGATAAGAACCAAATTATCCATTTATAATGGGTTTAAATTTTACATTTGTAAAGCCTCAAGTTGGGGGTTACTCAAGTTTGGGAGACTAGAAATTCTCCCAAAAGTGATCAATTTAAGAAGTCATGGACCCATATTATTCGCTGGTTAACCCTTTATTTAGCCGTATTAAATATGGGTCGGGTCGGATAATTTATCCATTTTTTATTACCCACTTTCGATCCGCTCCATATCCGACCCAACCCACCCGTTTACTACCCCTACTAATTGTATATATGGAAGTACCATACTCGCAGTATTACTCTGCCTCAACTAGCTTAAATCCAATTTTACATCAAGGTCTACATATGTTACCAGATCATGACGTGTTCCATATACCTTGGACCGACCAATGAATATTACTTAATATACATAAGGATAAAAGTATAAGTATAAAAAATTTTAACGGGTTAACGATTTATCTAATAAGGAAATTGAGTAATTCGCCCCAAATTGTTAAGCCGTTAATTATAAAATTTTAATCCGTTCACCAACCATTACCCCGATGCCCCAATACCAATAGAACAATAAGCTATTTTTACGATTTACCGTTCGATTTTGAACCGCCCTACTTTGAACTTTTGAAGCACGATGGTGTTTAAAGTGCAACTGAAGTTGTAGTACGAGGGTGTTTAAAGTAACTTGCCCATAATTTTGTCCCTTGAACGGTTCAACCTGTGAACCAAACTGAAAGCTATCTCATACATTTCACTTCACGACACTCTGTCTGTAGTATCTATCGCTAAGAGCTGCTGCTACTGCCACTCTTCTTCTCTATCAATTTCCACCTATCTTTGTTCTCCAGATTTTCCTCCACCCAAACTGAGTATTCTATGTGTCTATTCTTTAATGGGTGTTCTATTTTCTTGATTTTTTTGTAGTAATTTTAGCTACTAAATTACCCAAAGAATGGTAATTTAATACTTTTGGGTCTATCCCAATTCCCTCTTTTTTATGGTTAAGAGGAATATAATTTTATTTTGGCTCTGTTATTTATATTCCTGTTAACATTTTTATGGATTGAGTTTTGAAACATAAATTTTGCATGTTGCTAAATGGGAAGTGTTGTTTCAAAATCAGATTATATGTATTAGTTTGGATTAATTAGCTAATGATTTTGTTCTTTCTTTTTGATAATGTAATTAGCTAATGACTTTGACTTGGTTCTTATTTTGTGAAGGTTTCTTCTGATGTTTATGGGGTAGCTTGAGTTAGGATGGCTTTCTTCGTTCCGATGAATGTATGTCCATTCACCATTTCAAGCTCTATTAAGAAGATTCAAAACACTAACGAATGTAAGAAATTGCATGTTTTATCTCTTATAACAAGTTTAAGTTCTTTGCACAGATACTGCATATATTTTTTACACTCTTAGGTTAACTTGACCTATAACAATAGGTAACTCTAGGTAGCATGTTATATATACACTGTCATGACAATGTTTGAATCCTTTAACAAATAGTAATGGGCGATAATATGAGAACCTAGTACATATTTTCTTTAAGTTCCAGTTTTCTCTGTACAACAGGAACCCCCACCCCAGGAGCTGGTCCATCTGGTCGAAAGTAAGACAGTGTAATCCAATTGTCTTTGGTCATTTCTTATTATGTAATGCATGTCTTACTTGTAATTGCATGACTAGTATTCCTTTTGCACATATTCTCAGTCTTTGATCTGATTTAGTCTGTGACCATTTTCTTTGACTACAACAATTCAATGGTTATTAGACTATCGTTGGCTGAGGAATAGATAGCTTACCTAGAGGAATAAGGTATTAGACTTGTTTTGCGAGTGAAGGACTGGCAACGTAAGTTGGGGTTGGAGAGACATAGGATAAGCAAAACTAAGGAAGAAAATTTTGTTAACAAATAGATGATAATATTACCAAGACGTTTGTTCTGCAAACATGCTGAGAAGCTTTGTATAGAGCACCTTGATATAAATGCTGTGCCAAGATAAATTGCTTTCAAAAACATTAATTAGATATTGCCTACAACTTGAAAGTCAAAAGGCAGAGCTCACCAGGGGATCTATCCTCCTTCCTTGTTTCTTATTATATCCAAAAGAGAACAGCTAAGTGTGTCTTAGCTTTATTTTTAGGTTTACTTGTCTCTTTCTTTGAGGTTGTTTCGATGTCTAGTCAGATTTTTCTTCTTCGTCGTCTTATATTGTGCTGTGTCCTTGACATCTATAGACCTCACATGAGTATTTTATCTACGTAATATCGTGATTGAATCGTTCCTGATTCTTGACAATTTTCTTTTCCTGGTTGCAATTCTTTTCAACAAAACAGATAAACTACAATCAAAGAGTGCTGGTATATTATCAACTAAAGAAGAAGCAACTCGGCGCCAGCTTCTTGTTAGTCCTTTGGTTACACTTATAGCATTCAACTGCGGCTTAACGGTGCTACCAGCACGCGCAGAGGATGAAGAGTTTCAAGACAAGGATGAAGGTGTGGCTGGGGCTATTAAGTCCTTGTTTGATCCAAATGAGAAAACAAAGTCAGGAAAAGTCTTACCAAAGGATTACTTGAAATCTGCAAGAGAGGTGGTGAAAACATTGCGTGAATCCGTAAAGGAAGACCCGAACGACATGTCTAAGTTTAGACGAACTGCTGATGCAGCAAAGGAATCCATCAGGGAATACCTTGGTGGATGGAGAGGACAAAAATCAGTAGTCAGTGAGGTAATCCTTTTTCAACAAACAAAAAGTAGAATGTTATTGCACTGTAGCTCATTGAAAAGTTTTAGTACTTCGTGCAATATTATGGATTCATTGTTTCCAAATATATACAGAAATTTTGGAAACTATTCCTGTTGGCTAAGGAAGAGGCTTGCATAACATAATAACTTCAAATTTCAATTTCGTAGTTGGTATAATTCGTCAACAGTGCAAAGTTCATTTCTTGTTTCTAGAGCACCTTTTAGATCTCTATGCAAAACAAATTAAAGTCAGAGTAACTCCAAAATTTACCTTGCATAATGTCTTGAAATGAAATTATTTCTTCTCAAACATCTTCCTGTACGGTTTTTAAAAATTCTGCTGTTCAGTAAATGGTTCTCGGACTTCTTTAGCTAGCAGAGCTAGAAAGATTTCTAGTGGCTGTTTCCTCATTTTAGAGTCACGTTGTTGGCGCCAAAAACTATTGTAGTGTGGGAGCGTGCTCTTCCAATTCAATATGCATTTGAGTTTGACAGTGCTAGAGCATAGATTGCTGAAAAGAAGACAGAAGAAATCTGGTTGTTGATGATTTCAAATATGATAGGAAATAAGAAAATGCCACTTATAATGGGTTAGGCAGGAGAAAAAGTGGCCCAATATCAATTCATTTGGAGTTCACTCAAAATGATCCTAATGAATAAAGCAAATCTTCTAAGATAACCATTTCCTCTTAGGTTCGTTTTGGTTGGGAAGCAAGTTATCCGAGGATTAATTATCCTAGGATTAGTTATTTCTGCCTTCCTTAATCAATAACTCATTAGTTGCAATAGCTTTAGCGTTTGTGCAAATCAACTGTCTGAAAGAAGTCGTTAACATCTTGTGATATAACCTTATCAATTAGTAAAAATCCTTTACTTTCATGGACACAGTCATTCCAAAGAATGGTTGCTCCCCATCTACTGCGGCTGCTGGCATGGAGTTAGCTGGTGCCTAAGTTGCTCGGACTCTTCACTTTCGGTGCCGCACCTGTGTCGACACGACATGGGTGTGTGATCCGTACTGGATTTGGTCAACCGACTTTGGGTTTTTTACCAAAATCGACGGAGAATTCGGGGCACATACAATGATTTTTTAAATTAAAAAAAAAACGCTAGAGTGAAATCGGAGAAAATAGAATACCTTGTAGATAAAAATTTATATGTGAGTCTAATTCCTTTTATCTCCTTCCCGGATTCTCCTCTTGATCAATATTTTCTCCTTCTCGGAATACCTTGTAAGTTTTTCATATAATGTCTCATAATTTAGACATATTTTTATAACTCTATTTTTAGATATTTGAATAGCTCTGACCTAGATTTTTGTATTTAGGAGCAAACTGAACCTCTTTCTTGTACTCTCTGCATCTTCTTGATGCCTTTAATGCAACATCTTACTTCATAAAAAAAAAGATATTTGAATAGCCGAATCACCACACCGTACCTGTATGTGGATCCGTACCCCCGAATCTTAAAATTTAGATCATGAAAGATCCGACCTCTAAATCTGCACCTGTATCGGACACCGCACCCGAGTCCGAGCAACTTAGGCTGGGGCTTCTTCCTCGAGTCTTTGTCATGACCGCACTTGTCTACACCGAGCTGAAGACTCCACATGATATATAATTCTTGACATGCTGATGATTTTATCAATTTACTCTGGCATGCAAAATACTAAAAGTTACTAAAGTTTAGGGGGGGTTATACTCCTGTAGTAGAAACATAAATATTTGAGAGTTAAAACACATCCATGTCCTCCCCAGTTTTGTTGCATCTGGTCGTTGTTTTGACTTAGTACTGTACTTGCAGGACTCATATGTTATGCTAGAGAAAGCTATTAGATCTTTGGCCAGCTTTTATTCAAAGGCAGGCCCATCTGCTCCACTTCCAGAAGAGATAAAGCTAGAGATCTTAGATGATCTGAATAAAGCAGAAGAAGCATTGTAACATGGGATATATTCAAGGTGCACGCAAGCTGACTCGGACGGACACCACTGTTTAAAAAAATTACATTCTAAAATGGTTCTTGATTTACATATTAAAAGAGGTTAATGTGTTATAGTATCTTCAGTTGCACGATTGTCACGAGTGAACACTCCTTTCTTTTTCAGTGAGATGTGAGAACATGCTTGAAGTATTTTTTGTTGCATTTTTTTTTTCTTCTTTCCATCAGCCCTGTCGCAATGGTATTTTGTTTGATGTTGGTGACCAAATCATCTGTTCCAAGTGTGACCTAAATATTGTGACAAATAGACACTAGACAAAGAAAGGAATATTATCTGAATACAATAAAAGGTTCCTCAATTCAAAGGTTTCATTTTGGTGTAACCATGAATGCATGTTATGCAACTACTTTCAAAGAACTCTGATATAAAATATATTCTGTAATATGCAATGTTAAAGGTGAGTAATCCAGTCACCGCTCAATTTATTGAAGCCCTTCACCGAAGCAAGTAGACCAAGTCATGGCACGTCGACAGTCTTAAATAATATTTGCTCGAACAATAAAGTCACCAATGCTCTAAGCTCCTGCTTTGCAAGAATCGAAGGCTTCAACTGCTTGCACCTCGACTTCTTGATCACACCAGCGGCAACTATTACCATTACGCCTGTATCCCCCCCCCCCCCCCCACACACACACACACACACGAAGTCCATGTTCTATTATACCAAAACCACTACGTTCAAGCATCCGAGACAACACAATCCACATCCCATTGTATCTGTTCTTCATTTTGTTATTACTATCAAGGAACAAAGAGAGTATACATCGCCATGCTGACTGTAGTTTCTCGCACACTGTATGAAGCACTCACATTTTGATCAAAGCCAAAATCAAAATTATGAAAATGCAGAACATATGAAAAGCTCAAAGTTGCATGCAACCACAAAATACAGAAAAAATTTGCTTGTACTTGGCATAGGGTCAAGTTACATCTCATGTTTTGCTGGAATAGATTGCTCCTACATTCCAGAGAGAGAGAGACCTTTTATTGTGCTCACTCATATATCCTCTTAAAATATCACCCTTGTAATAGGCAACTTAAAAGAACAGAAGCAATCTTTCTTCACGAAAGTACAAATGACCTCTGGTAATAAAAAAGATTACAACCAAACAAAAGCATAATGCCTCCATCACCAGTCAAACCTCCAACATTTCATACATAAAAACTGAAATACTGAAAGTAGCTGCCTGCATTCGTCTTGTAGCATTTGTAGATATCAAAATAATATCTGGAAAGAGCTAGAGAAACATCTGATGTATCTTGATCCACTTCTTCTGCCACAGGGTTATAGTAATCATGATATACCTTGCAGAATAGCAGTGCAGCAAACTACAGCAAGGGATAAATACTAAGTAATAAGCAGAACATCATTTCCCTGCACAAGGATTATCCATACGAACAATTGCCAACTCATTTGTATATATTGAAATGCTAAAACACCAACCTTCACTCAAAGAATGTGAATCTTTGCGGAAATAGATATTTCACGATCGGGACAAAACCCCTTTTGAGCTGCACCGATAAATAGGAGGCAATTGAGGTTCGGAAAAAAGAAATCAAAGTAAATTTGCCATTCATTCATCATCATCTTGTGTGTCTATTCGACATGTATGTCTACCAGGTTCATGTTTGAATATAAAAGGACTTTTGGTTGATGTGTCAAATGCTGGTGGTTTTTTTTTTCATTTTTTTTATTTATTGCTGGTGGTTGATGTAATGAAAGGAGTTCTAGTGAATCTAAGCAGTGAAGAAATGGTAACTTGAAGAAAGGAAAAAGATATATACACAATTAAAGCCCATGATTTTGTTGGATTACAAGTAGTACCACAAACTTAAAGAGAAATTAAAACTGAGCAACCCTAAACAATAACCTCAATGATACTGACACATTATAAGCTGTTTTAAAAACTTAAAAGGAAAGGAAAATAACCCAACCTGGGCACACTTCCACCACGACGCAAGTCATATTCAGTTGCTTGCCGAAGAGCTCTAGCAAACGCCTTGAAAGTTGCCTCAATGATGTGATGAGAATTTTTTCCAGCAAGCTGTGACCAGACAAATTCAACATCTTAGTATGCAAGAGTATAAAACCAGAGTAAAGATCAAATAAGGGCAGAAAAATAAGTCACAAAAAAAAACGAAAAGCCCCCCCCCCCCCCTCCCCAAAAAAATAAAATAAACAACCCTCTGAAGAGGTCATCAAAGGATTTACCTGCCGAATATGGAGCGTCATTCCAGAAGTGTTGACTAAAGACTGAAAGAAGTGTTCCACCAGCTAAAAATAACAATGTCATTCAAATCAGCAGATCCAAAGAATAGATATAGAAATGAGCGAAAACTTACACAGCTTAAACAATTAATGTTTTATGGCCAGGAGAGCATAAAATTTCTTTCTTTTCTTAGGCATAATAACAAACTAACAATTAGTTGTAAAAGTACTTGCCATGTACACATGATGTTGACACATGCTCTATCTTGGACATTTTGACCTGACATACTTATCAACAGTAAAATTATTACTCCCTCTGTTCCAGTTTATGTGAACCTATTTCCTTTTTGGTCCGTTCCAAAAAGAATGACCCCTTTCTAAATTTGGTAACAATTTACCTTAAAATTACAATTCTACCCTTAATGAGAAGCTTTTATAACCACATAAATACTCTGGGCCCCTTTTTGACTTGTTTAGGACCACAAATTATAAAAGTCTTTATTTTTTCTTAAACTACGTGCCCAGTCAAACAGGTTCACATAAATTGGAACGGAGGGAGTACTTAATATTTATACCATCCCAAAATTCAACATTCATACATTAAACAACAACAACAACAACAACCCAGTAAAATCCCACCAGTGGGGTCTGGGGAGGGTAGAGTGTACGCAGACCTTACCCCTACCCCGGAGGGTAGAGAGGCTGTTTCCGGTCATACAATCTGAACGTATGATGGTTCTCCTATGAAAAACCTAGTACACAAACTAAATTTTGTTATATACATTAATAGATGAATGAAAAGGTTCTAGCATCAGATTTGATCAAAAACATATCTGATTAACCAAATTCAAACAGGCGGTAGCAATTGGAGAAAACCTATCTGATACTGGAGATAAAGAAAATCTTCCATCTTCTATACTAGAAACAAATGTTCATTCACAATTGAAGTCAAACGATGCAGGAACTTGGAGACACTGACCCTGTTCATAGTAGAACAAGAAGATTAGACAGACCTGAGTGTCATAAGTTCCAACTCTCTGAGTAGGTATTTGTAAATCATAGCCCAAATATGGCCTTCCTGATAAATCCTGTATAAATTAAACATCAAACAGTTAATATACATGCAGATCATGATCATAAAAAGATAGATATGATTTTATTTGATAAATCATGACATTCTATTAACATGTCACCAGGTTGGTGTGGCTGTTTCAAAATGATACTATATAGATATGCATTATACCCCAAAAATTTAACCAACTATTTATACAAACAGGAATTTCCTCTTTATATCATAAGTACAACCAAAACAAGAGTTTTTTCAATTTTGTACAAATTCAAAGTCCTATAGTTTGCCGAGGGTCTATGGGAAACAGCCTCTCTACTCCATCGGGGTAGGGTAAGGTCTGCGTACACACTACCCTCCCCAGACCCCTCACCTGTGGGATTTTACTAGGTGGTTGTTTTTGTTGTTGTTGTCAAAGTCCTATAGTTTCTTTCCCTCCATAAGAACCAAAACACAATGGGGCTGTTTTCAACTTCTTTTTTGTAGCATCCTGTCTGCTTAAAAAGATCAATATCTAAAACCAAAGACAATACTTGTTCCTACACAAGAGCAAATATTCTTCTTTTCTAATCAGTGAATAATCGTATAACAATAAGGAAAAATAGAAGAGTTTATGAGGTACTTTTGTGGTTTCAAGAAACCACATTCCAGGTGAAAGAAAGTATAGACCTTGTTTTGTGGAAGTATGTACAAATTCTGACTAGATAAATAAGCAGGGCTGTCTATTAGTTATTATTGTGATGGTGCAAAAGGCTGATAATCTACACACTTCAGACAGAGAATATCTGACAAAAATAGTGTTCCCATAAGGTTATCACTTACCAGTGAAACATGAATCAGTGCTTCATCTAATGGAGCTGAAAAGTCACCAAATCGATTGATTCCCTTTCTATCGCCAAGTGCTTGCAACAATGCCTAGATAATCAAAAACTAGAAGTCACCCAAAAGTAGAAGTCAAGGCTCTAAAGAGAAAAAACTAAGGAATGCCAACACAATGAGGAGTGACTCAAGCAAGTAAAAGAGTCTCTATGTCAAAACGAGATGTCGCAACCACTTTCAGATATAAACTGAGTAAAGAGACCGACACATGGAAAGAACACACGAGATTCTGAATATACTTCTGAATTACTTAATTATAAGCTCCCTGAAAACTCACAGTTCCAATGGCAAGTGCAACATCTTCATTTGTGTGGTGGTCATCAATGTGAATATCCCCAGTTGCTTTTACATGCACATCGAACAATCCATGTGAAGCGAGTTGCTAAGGAATATAAACAAGGTTTAGTACCAGCACAATACCAGAAGCAGCGCATATGTAAATCAGCAACTGAACTTAGAAGTAGAAACCAAATAGCTGCTCATCCACATCCAGCAATATAAATTAGGTTGTAAACTTCAGGAAAAAAAAATATCATAAAAAGTAGAAAATGTAACATGCAATTGAAGGAGAGGACAATACTTCTTTTTTTACGACGGTGGTGTTTAAGCTAACTTGTGCACACCTCAACTATTCCATCAGATACCTACCACCTCCTACCAGCAGGGGAACCGGGTAACTCGGCCCACCAAGGCTTAGGCTACGAAGAAATCACCTAGGTTTTTTTTGCCTCCGTTGGGATTTGAACCTAAGACCTCATGATTCTCCCCAACCTCATTGACCACTAGGCCGAACCCTTGATATAGAATAGGGGAACAAATTCAACAAGTTTCATATTTTTACCAAAAAGAAAAGGAAATACAGGAGTAGTCCAACAATCCTTATTGTTCAGGCTGTTTTACCTTTATCCGGGGATATGTTCAAGTATAACACATCAGGATACAGGATATTCAAGAAATTAAGCATGTTCTACCTCTAAAAGCTTAAACGGTTAGACATGAGAAATTATATTTTAAGCCTGCAATACGCCCTCATGTTCCGACCTTTTTTCCCTATGTATAATATTTTCTATTGAAGGATGGTGAGAGACTTGAATTTGATACCTTGTTAAATGTGTGCCCCACCATGGAACACTTCTGCTATTTATTTATTACTCAGTCCATCCCATTTTATGTGGCATGCTATTAGTTTTAGTCTATCCAAAAAAAGAATGACACTTTCCTGAGATGATTTTTAGCTACGCATTTGTCTGGCTTATTTTGGATCACAAGTTTCAAAAGGCTTTCTTTCTTTCTTAAACTCCATAGGCAATCTAACACCGTCCCGTAAAATGAGAAGAAGAGTAAGTATTACTAACTAACAGGTGAAAACTCATAAATTTTTTATTTTTATTTTGACAATACTCATAAAAAAACTAACAGGTGAAAAGAAATCTTTTTCAGCAGAAGATATAGTAGTACTTACATCCAACATGTGATCAAGAAATGGGATCCCAGTATTATTCTCCGCAACACCTGTTCCATCCAAGTTTATCTTCACATACACATTTGTCTCTTTCGTAGCCCTCTTCACTTCCCCAATACGACCTATCAAAAACCCCAATAAATACATCAAAATAGACTTCACCGCAATCCCATACTAGTTAAGAGTAAGTTATATGAACTCTATTCAGCACATTCCTTTACAAAGCTATCAAAATCTAGAATTTACGCTATAGGCTATGCTTTGACAGTGATTTTTTTACACCACCAATGTAGTTTAACCTGTGATAGTATGTTACTCACCATTGTTACTAGATTATCAGTTAATGCTTATTAAACAATTTACTTGTATTTACCTCATAATTGACCGGATTGTGTAAATATTGTTTACATCGTCCGTGAAATGGAACTTAAACTCTTAGTGAAAAAAGTGTAAACCCAACTTCCGAAATTAAAAAAAAAAACACTAAAAAATCAACCCACTAAGCCTCAATCCCAAGCTAGTAAAAGTCATCTATATGAATTCACTGTATCCATTATGCTCTATTCAAGTCCATTTCATTAATAAAAAATAAAAATAAAAAGAAGAAGAACCTATTTGAGAAAAGAAATGAAACCCATTATTGGGTAGGGAAAATGGAGTTACCTGTTTCAGAGGAAGTTATCGAAGACCCATTATCAAAAGCGTGAGGAATCGTTGTTTGAGCTGCCATTGAAGTAGTCGCTAGTTTGTGGTGTAGTCCAGTGAAAATATGTGATTTTTGGTGATAATTATTTGTGGAGAAAAGAAGGGTTTGTGAAACCCTAGTTCTTAAATTGAGAAGGGAAGGTAGTGATGAAGAAGAAGAGTTGAAGAGACGATGAGAAATTGATAGCTCCATATGTGAGTGTGAGAGAGACGATTGTGAGCTACTATTTGTTTGACCAAGGAACAAAGGAGGAGTGACAACCAGAAACGACGCCGTTGACGTTCTTTTTTGTTTTTGACTTTTCCAAATATCAATTACATGATCAAGTCACTTAAATTAATAGTAATAATTAAGTAATTGCTAATGAGTAATAATTGAATCTTCGAAAACTAATATGATAACTAAGGGTGTGTTTGGTACGAAGGAAAATATTTTTCGGAAACTATTTTCCAATTTTTTCATGTTTGGTTGGCTAAAATGTTTTGGAAAATATTTTGCTTATGAACTCATTTTCCTCCCATTATTTTCCTCCAATGGGAGGAAAATGTTTTCCTTATCAAGAGAAGGGAAAATATTTTCCAAAACTCATTCTCAACCTTCGCTAACCTCACCAACCTACCCCACCCCCTCTCTCCAAAAAAGTTTTTTTTTTTTTTGAAATTTCAATTTTTTCGTTACCACCCACCCTACTACCCCTCCACCCCACCCCACCCTCCCCCCGCAAAAAAAATTTCTTTTTTTTTTACCTTTTTTATTATTGCATTTTTAAATTTCTATTTTTTCGTTTTTGTGCACCACCCGCTCCCCAACTGCGTCCCCCTCCCTTACCCCCCCCCCCCCCTCACATACAAACAACTAAAAAAAAAATTACGTTTTTTTTTTTGTAATTTCAAATTCTGTTTTGTTCGTTTACCCCCCCCCCCCCCTCCGAAAAAAAAATTAATATATTTTTCATTTTTAGTTTATTGGTTTAAAGGTCCAAAATTTTACAAGTTCCAAAGTTATGAGTTCGGAGGTTTATGTGTTTGGAAGTTTACGGGTTTAGAAATATAAAGTTTACGGGTTAGAAATTTCGTGGTTTCGAAAGTATATGAAAAATGTGGGTTCGGAAGGTTGTTGGTTTGAAAGTTTATAGCTTCATGTTTATTATATCTAAATTATTTATGAATACTCTTGAGAAGTCATTTTCCTTAATTTGCGTACCAAACACCGAAAAATAAATAGGATTACTACTTGTTTTCCAAGAAAACATTTTCTTGGAAAATATTTTTCATGGAAAATATTTTCCGTTATACCAAACCACCCTAAGTTATAATAGGTTATGATGCATCTAAATTTTTTTTATGTGTACGGGTGATTTTTTTTTTCTTCTTCTCTTTATTTGGAATTAGATGTTCAACTCTATCTTGATGAATTCTGGAAAACAGAAAAAGTTCTAAGAAAATAGGAGGACAGGAACGATTAACTAAACCATAACTAAACCACCAACTAACCACTAGAAATACTAATTTACCTCAAAATTTCATAATAAAGGACGATACTCAACATAAGACTATACTAACAAAAGAATACTCATGACACTACATTATTGACTATGGAGCGACTCTAAGAGTTCAATGAAAAGACCATAACAATAAATAAAATCTCTGCCTACGCGAACAAGTGCGAGGCTCACCAAGAATTCTCAACCTGTGTGCTCTAATTAACGAAATCCTCGCCTGCGTCAACTGCTGTCTCTGTAAAAAAATTAGCGGGGAATGAGTCGCTAGCTCAGTGAGTAATAACACTTAACCACAACGTTTTTATTGGGGACAAGTCAGAAAACATGCTAGTATATCAAACAGAAAATAACATAAAAATGCCCTTTCAGAAACAATAAATAATTTTCAGTCTCGTCATGCTTTTCTTGTAGTATAATACAATTAACAGTTCGGTAATAAGCTCGGTAACCACTGTTTCTAATATCAATATTCACATTTGGGAGGTTTCAGAAAAGGATCATGTAATCTGTATCACTGTGTGGACCCCTTCATAAAAGGAGTCAAGTATAACTGTAGGTCCCTACTCGAGGGAAAACTGTAACTGTATGCTAGTTCTACCTTCCCACTAGCGAGGGCTATAACTGTAATTGGTAATCGGTAATCTGTAAATACAAGGTGCACCAGGTCTAACGAACCCGCCGTTAGCTACGGGATCCTTCAAAGTCTCCTCCCATTTATACTCTTTCTTGTAAATAGTAAATACTCGTACAAAAGCATTTTCAAAATAATAAAGGGCATATCATTCCTTATCAAATCTTGTAATTTTATTTCAGTAACAGCAATCTTGTCTCAAGTAACGGTAAAACATATCTAGTAACAGTGAGAATACTTCAAATAACTGTAACATCTAAAGTAACGGTAAAACATACCTAGTAACAGTGAAAATATTTTGATTAATCGGTAAACATCTCAAGTAAACTATTCGGTATCATATCAAGTAAAGGACTTGTCCCACATGCAATTTTTAAAGCATCGGTAATACATTTATTTTCAAAATCATATATAAACCATGCAGGTTATGAAAACACAAATTGTGGTAAGATTACTACTCACAGTACTCGTGTCGAAATACCAAGCGTGCCAACTCGGGCAGTCCATACGACTTCCTCGATCAATCTATATTATGACAAACACGAGTCTAAGTGTCAACTTCGTGAAGTACCAAATCTCCTCGTGGTTCCATTCGTAATAAGCTTAGTTAGGCTACCAGTGAACTTATCAAATACTTCTTTGTAATTCTTTCTTCCCAGTTCATGAAACGTTCATCAATTAATCAATTTTATGATGATAATAAAATAATTCATGTCTAATGATATTCATTATAATTAAATACCAACATTAATCCTAGTATCACAATTTAACTCAAGTCAATGATTATGTATATAATATTACTAGTTAAAAGTAAAACTAAGAATACAATGTTACCTCTTTCTCTTATTCACTGTGTGAGTTTTGTTTCTGCGTATACCTACACTGAATCGAGGTGAAATTCCTCTTCTCGTTCCATTGTAAAACTTTCTGCCTGAGGAATCCATTCTCTCTTAAATTTTCTTGCAATGCTTTCTGCATATGATGGTAAATATTTCTTTTGCAGAGGCTTTGTGGCTCCTTCTCGGTTTTTTTTTTTTTTCAGATTCTTTATATTTGGGAAAAAGTTTCTCTACTAACCTAGTTCATGTTATCCATACTGATGNATTTTAAGGTTGATAGTCTCTTCGCCGACTGCCTGGGCCCTCGAATCGTCCTCTCCCCGGACGCTATGTGATGATCCGGAGGCCTGATCAGTGTTGAGCGCCATCCGGGAATCGGCATCTATCGGGTTTTCGAGCCCGGACATTCCATTGTTTCCTGTCTGCTGTTCAAGTTCGTTGTTGATTGATTGTACCATTCTATGAGTTGGTAATTTGAATGTAAGATGGACTCTTTTGCAAAGAACCAGTGTATTGTGATGCGTCAAAAAAGAGTATCAAAGAGCTCACTAATATCCTTAGCCCCACGGTGGGCGCCAAACTGTTTACCCTGGAATCCGGATAACAATTGAATTTATATGGGGTTTTAAGGATCCGTGAACTAAAAGATACAAAAGGTTTGGATTGAGGAAAATAAAAGATAAAGACTCAACAATTGCTGCTAAAGTAAATAATCGCAGAATATAATATTGCTTAGAACAATTGTGCTTGATAGCGTACAAGAATTGAGAGAGATGGTACCGTAGTGTAATGGTTTCCCCTCCCCTCTTTATGGGGTCTTCTCCCCTTTTATACATTCTGATTAGGGGTAAAAATAAGGTAGGTAAATTAATTACATCGTGGATCCCTGTAATTACGCCTTAATGGCCTGAAGTGGTTGAGAAAATCACGTTTGGGCGAGATATCCGGCGACGCTTGGTTATTCGTTACGAGTCCGGCTTCCGACCTTGTGTGTTTCTCCATCCGGTGGTGACTCATATCGAGCTCTGCAACGGTCTCGAAATGACTCGACCTCGGTTGTTGACGTGGCCGTCGTTCTACCTTGCATCCAGGTCGGGTTCGATGGCCCCGACTTGTCCCGGACCGGACCCAACCCGGTCGGGCTCAAGCAAAAAGGGTATCACCCAATACAGATAGTCCCCTCGTTTATTAGAGAGTAATGATAATAAACGATATGATCGGTGACGTGATGCCCGTGACGTATGGCCATACGCCAGCTGAAAAAGCCATCGAGTACTCTGACCACGTCTGCTGCAGGCATTTAATGCTTCTCTTAATTATCTGTCGCTTCGTGTCTGTAACTTCGCATTTAATGGTAGTCCTTTATGTTTTTCGAAGTAGTCTCCGAGTGAATGTATTCGAACTCAAGTGAACTTCGACCTTTGGGTTTTCTCAAGGCAGTCCCCGAGTGAGTTGATTCGAGCTCGGGTAAAAAATCAAACCTTACATTTTTCAATATAGTCCTCGAACGAGTTTATTCGAGCTCGGGTGAAGTCTAACCCTTAGGTTTTTTTTCGAAGCAGTCCCCGAGTGAGTTTGGTCGAGCTCGGGTGTAGTTCAAACCTTAGTCCCCGAGTGAGTGTATTCGAACTCGGGCAAAATTCAAACCTTAGATTTTCACAAGATAGTCCCCGAGTGAGTGGAATCGAACTCGGGCAGAAAATCCAAACCTTAGGTTTTTACAAGATAGTCCCCGAGTGAGTGGAATCGAACTCGGGCAGAAATCCAAACCTCAGGGTTTTACAAGACAGTCCCCGAGTGAGTGCATTTGAACTCGGGGAAGATTCAACCCTTAGGTCTTTTCAAGGTAGTCCCCGAGTGAGTGTATTTGAACTCGGGGAAGATTCAAACCTTAGGTTTTTACAAGATAGTCCCCGAGTGAGTGGATTCGAACTCGGGCACAATTTGACCTTTAGGTTTTGTATCGATTTTACGCCTTTTTCTTAAGGTCTTACAAATTCGAGTATACTTCGCCATTAGTGAAGTCGATGATGAGGCCGGTATTACCTCTTTTGAGATTTTATGAATTTGGACCCGCCTTCTCGAGGACTTATGGTTAAAATAATGCCTTATCGAGGCCTTACGAATTTCGAACTCACCTTTGAGGTCTTACAGTTTTATGTGTCGCCTTATTAAGGTCTTATGAGCTTGGACTTGCCTTCTTGAGGTCTTATAGTTTAAGTGTTGCCTCATTGAGGTCTTATGAGTCCGAGTATGCCTCAATGAGGTCTTATGT